TATCAAAGTTATTGTTTAGATAAAGATTAACATACTTGACATTTTAAGCTAATTTCATTATTACCTATCTATGTTAGATATTGCGGTATTATGTTAGGTATTTCTCAATTACAATTTCCTTCAAGAGATTCTGGTAAGATCAGGTTTTTTAGCTATTTAGGTACTTTTGTTTCATTAAGTATTCTACTTAATCCTGTTAGTATCTGTTTTATGGGTGCTACTTTATTATTTCGCAGTGAAATTAAAGCTTTTTATGTTTATAAAGAAATGAAAGCTGCAAAACAACAAAAAGTAAGCAAAAGAGAATACTGGGAAATATTTTTCAAGAATAACATAACTAAAGTAGTGTATTTTTGCTTGCTTTCAGCAGGTATGATGTACTTTTCTTTCACTTCGACTTTTCTACTGGTTGCATCATTCGGGGCGATACCGTTAACAATGTTATTGATTTTACTACAGAGTGAGCTAAGGCCGAAAGATTTCAATCCATTGACACTATTTAAAGCAGCTATGGATTTCTTTGTAGAAGGTATAAAAGAAAATTCACGTAGTCTAGTTAATGGCCTTGATGCTAGATTTGAGCATTTGCTGCCTCATATGTTGAATGATGAAACCATTAAAAATATCAAATTACTGGCAGAAAAGTATGGTGAAAAGATACCCGAGTATAAAGATGTTATTAATAGTGGTGAATTTATTAATTTTATTGAATATATAAAAGATATAGAAGATCCACGTGTGTTAAAAGATGATGCGAAGAATAAGCTCATCTTATTTTTGAAGGATTTTTGTGAAAATGATCAAAAGCACAGTTCTGGATTTACAGGAGGACAGATTTTACTGCTAGTTTTAAGAGCTTGTAATGACGGAGAAGGTGAAGTTATTGTGAATAAAAGAGATGCATTAATAGTCAATTTACTTGATACTCAAACATTCTCAACAAAAGAACGAATTCCCAATACTTGTTTTACGGGTATTATTTATAGGATGTTAAGCTCGTTGGAAGGAATGCATTTTGATCCAGAAATCAAATTCACTCCACCAAGGCGGATGTTTCTCGAAGAAGCAAAAAATCAAGCAAGTAGGTTTATGTTAGATGTATTAAAGAAAAAGAAAAACAATAAAGAAATTTTTCATGCTTGGTATCAGGTTCAGAATGATCCTGATAGTCAAAAAATAGTTGACGATTTCATAGCGGAAGTAAGAGTGCCGTTAATGAGGGAATTATTGGGTTTTGGATCAGTGTACACTGAACAAATTATGCTAATGTTAATGAATAGTATTGGTTCTATAAGGTTAAAAAGAATAGAGGGAACTATCCTTCTGCGTGTAGAAGGTGAGTTAAAAAAGCATGGGTTAGATAATCTATATGATAATCAAGTAGAAAATATTGCGAATAAGGTATTCTTAGCACTATTAGATAAAGATTTATTAAATACAGATTTTTCTTTAAAAAATTTATTTATACGAAAAGAAGAGTATATGATAATCTCTGAGATAGTAGAGAGGGAGGCAGAGAGGTTAAAATTAGAACCTAAAAAGACTATGGAAGGTCAAGTAGTTAGAATGTTAAATAATTTGAATAGGCTACCGCAAAGCAGAAGATGCTATAGAATATATGAAGAGCTTGGAAAGAATGACGAGGATAAAAAAAGAGAAGTTAAAAGAATTTTACATGAAAGGTTAAAATTACCGGAAAAAACAATAAATGCACTGCTGAAGGAGGAATCTTTAAGCAAGCTAGAATTGGCAATTGAAGATATTTATCATCAAAGTAAAAACAATGTAGTTGAGTTATATAATAAGATAAAAGAAGTAAAGAGAGAATTCACTGAAGATGAATTATTAACAGCAGAGGAAATAGATAGCATAGTGAAAGGGAAAATAGTAAATTTAAGCACAGAAGACAAATTAGTATTATCAAAGGGTAGGTTATCTCGGTGTTCGAGTGTTAGCAATATGGCTAGTGGTTACGATTTATAGTTATAGTAACTTACTTTCCTTACCTTGCAAAAGGTTCGTGATATTTTTATGGTGTTTTAAGAAAATTAATATTCCGATAACAAGCAGCATCGAAAATAAATTTTTATGAAGAAAAGGTGACATTATTGTAGTGATTGCAGTGGCACTTAAAGAGGAGAGGGAAGAATATCTAAAAATATAAAATACCGTTACCCAAATAAATATAAATATTAACGCAGCTAGT